GACAGTCTTAAAGAAGTAGTTTGACGGTTTGGAGAAAAAAAAGCTTGGTAGCGTTCTTGCTGTGAAAATTGATACCATAGTCATGAATGTATCTACAGCCAGCAGAGCAGAATTACTGGAGACAAGAAGAATCAACTCTCCTGGCTCTATCTAATAATATATCTACTGCACATATAAGCTGCGTCACTTAAGTTGGCAAATTTACTTTTCTACTTTGTGTGTTTGTGTGTGTGTAAAAAATGGCTTTGTCTAGTATTCGCCATGCTAGCTTAGCAGTTGATGGCTCTAGCTAATTATTTAATCTAGACAAATAGGCAAATTCTCCTCACTCAGACCTCTACAGGAAAGCTAATCAGTGCGTTTTCCCAAAATGTTAATTGCTGATAAGTCAAATTCAGCTGTGAACCAAACAGAACACCTTTGGGATGTGGTGAAACTGGAGATTTGCATCATGGATGTGCAACCGACAAGCGACTGTGTGATGCTATCGTGTCAATTGGACCAGAATCTCTGATGAATGTTTCCAGCGCCTTGTTGAATCTGTGCCATGAACAGAGATGGGCAATAAAGCGTTACTGTAATCCGATTACTTTTTTCGAGTAAAGTAAGAGATTACTATTGCTAAAACAGTAATTAGATTACTGTTACTTTCCCGTAAGCACTCTGCGTTACTGCGTTACTAAAACCGTGATTTTTTGCGAGAATGTCTCATGACATGACGTAAGCGAGTGCGACGTTCGTGCAACAGCTGTGTGCAGATCAACAATGGATAATATATCGAGTGCGGGAGAGAGTATGAGCGTGCAGCGTTTAAAGCGTGGAAGTACTGACCTTACTTTGAGTTTGATTCCATAAAAAGTGACAAAAACATTAGTCGTCCGCTGTTCACTGCGTGGGAAGAAAACCCTCTTTTACACCTCCGAGCAAGCACCGAGTGCGCTACCACATAATGTGAAATTCACAGATTCTTCAACTGACCGCTGCGGCACACCTGCACCAGGGCAAACCTCCGCCTACCCACTCCTGCTTTACAGGTGAAAATAGAGCAACAGGACCGCTAGTCTTTGATTTTATTTATTTTCTGCTGTGTTTTACTTGCATCTATTTGAAAGAGTGAGTGTAAACACACAAAAATATTTTATTTTATGTGCTGGAATGTGCAGAAAATAGGTTTAAATGTTAAACAAATTTCTTCCAGTCAGAGAATGTTGCATATAATTAATTTTTGCTTGATGCATAAAGTTAAAAGATTAAAACTAATAAAACAAGTTTTAAAAAGAGACTTTTCCATTTGATTACATTTGTATGATGGATTATGCAGAAAAAGTAGAATTGGGCTGAAAGATCTATCGCTTTATCACCTATTCAGGTTGTAAATCGTGTTTTTAAAAAGTAACTAAGTAACTAAGTAATTAATTACTTTTGAAAATAAGTAATCAGTAAAGTAACGGGATTACTTTTTGGGGAAGTAATCAGTAATTAGTTACTGATTACTTTTTTCAAGTAACTTGGGATCGTGGCTCAAGAGTTGGGAGTTCGCCTTGTAATCGGAAGGTTGCCGGTTCGAGCCCCGGCTTGGACAGTCTCGGTCGTTGTGTCCTTGGGCAAGACACTTCACCCGTTGCCTACTGGTGGTGGTCAGAGGGCCCGGTGGCGCCAGTGTCCGGCAGCCTCGCCTCTGTCAGTGCGCCCCAGGGTGGCTGTGGCTACAATGTAGCTTGCCATCACCAGTGTGTGAATGTGTGTGTGAATGGGTGGATGACTGGATATGTAAAGCGCTTTGGGGTCCTTAGGGACTAGTAAAAAGCGCTATATAAATACAGGCCATTTAACTTGACCAACACTGGCCATGAAGAATTCAAGCAGTTCTGAATGAAAAAGGGGGTCCACAGTTGTTAAGACTAGTTCCACCTTGAGTAGCAGCAACTGCTGCTTATGCGTCAGTGCATCCATAAACAATCTAATAATGTATTAATTCATCACTAGCAGGATCTGATTAATTCTTCCACAACTGCGTTTTCTCTTCAGGACATGTCTGAGAGGTGCTGTTATGTTTATTTTTGAGGTTGTAGCAGGTGTTGGTGTGAGTCAGTCTGCAGCATGTAGGGAGGTGTTTCTCACATTCTTACTTCTCTGAATCTCTAAGCGCTCTTGGCGTTCCTTACTTGATCTCCTTATTGATGGCCTCCAGCTGTTCCTGCAGCATGATGGCCAGGGTCTGCACATCCGTCTGTCCGCTGGGTGACAGAAGCTCGGAGCCAAACCGAGCCTCCCCGTCGTCCTCATCGTCTGAGCATCCCACATCCATGCCTGGCTGGAACCCAGTCCCAATCAGAGTGTGATCCCAATCTGAGTACTGCACACACAAAGCAAGACAGGATGATTCACTACACAACGGACATCTGATCCCATTTGCAAATACCAATCATTCAACATCAAATTGAGTTTGTAGGTATATGAAATAACCCATGTGCAGAGTGCAGCATCCAAAAAAAAAGGTTCATCTTTTGTATACAGTCTATGCTAGGAACATCTAATTTTGTGTATCTCAAATCCCATTTAGCTTATTTCTTGAGCTCCAGTGAGTCAGTGCTACAGTGTATCACTGAGCTACACCTTTTTTTTTTGTAAAAAAAAAAAAAAAAAAAGATCCCAACTTTCACTTTTAAACCTTTGAAGAGTGATTTCTGAAGCACCTTTTAAAATATCTCACCTTGGTAGTGTCCTCATGAGCAGAGCTCCAGCGGGGCCAGTGACGATTGCCTGTGCCTCCGGCAGAGGCATTACCGAAGGGATCCAGGTGAGTGGTGGAACCTGTTGGGAGGGACCCGCCTCCGTGGGAATACCTCAACTCCAGAGCACTGCCTGGCAGAGAGCGACTGGAAAAATAAAAGAAGAAATGAGACACGATAAGATGAACCCTACACACAGCAAACAAAGTGGGGTACTAAAGCATAACATGTGCCAACTCCAAAGCTGAGATACTGCAAAACGAACATATCAATGTGAAAAATTAAAATTGTCTAATAATAGAGGATTAAATTAAAAGAGCACGGAAAATGAAGATACAGCCCAACAGTAGCCAGTCGACGTACAGCTACAAGCTGTCCAAATGATGGTACCAACCTGGAATAGGAGCCCCCAGGCCTCGCTCTCAGCTGATCCAACTCCAGCTGAAGCCTTTCCAGCTCAGCGATCAGCTGATCCTGCAAATGAAAAAAAAATGGTAGAGAAAAGAGGAAAATCATGTCTGCTAGCTTAACCTGAGAATAAAACCTGGATGTATGGTCACCTTGTTTGCCAGCAGATCATCCTGGAGTTTCTTCATGTTGGACAGTTCCTCTGATAGTGCATTCTGGAGAAAAATGATAAGAAGTAATAAGAGTATGAGGGGAATTTCAGGAAAACCTTATTTGTTCTATCTGAGAAAATTAGTCTACTGTCTGCCACCAGTGTGTTTTTTTACAGGGACTCAATTTCTTGCCAGTGTTTCATTAGAATTACAGATGATCTACATATGCAGATTGCATCTACAATAACAGCAGTGCATATATAGAAATGTATGCATTAAAGCACAGATGCATGCAACTTCTTCATAACCATCTACCCATTCGGTTTCTTCTGCTTAGCCAATTCAGGGCTGCAGCTGCACTGCAGCCTATCTGAGCACTTATGAGGTGAGACATGGGGTACACCCTAGACAGGCCGCTAATTTTAAAGGGCTAACAAAAAGGAAAAAAACGACCACTCATACCTACAGTCGATTTAGAATCACCAGTTAACCTAATGTGCATTTTTTTTTAATTGTGGGAGGAAGCCAGAGTGCTTGGAGAGAAGTCTCCAGCTGGCTGTCGAATTTGAACCCCAGACATTTTACTGATTTGCTTTTTTAGCAAGAACTCAATGACCTGCATCACACAACCGCATGTGGGGAAAAGACATGCAGTTTTCGGTTAAACTGTGTCACTGGCTAACTTTGTCCGTGTTACCTGTTCACAATAAAGTATCATTTGTCACCTATAAATGTTACGTATCTCAAAATCCAGGAGTATAATTTAAAGTCTACATTTACAGCAAACTATCAATGCTACAAGTAACAGCTCAGTAAGCATCTTACCAAGTCACTGTGCTACCCTGCAAACGAAAAGCTCCACTTTTAAGCACATTCCTTTAAACCTAATCCCACCCGGAATTTATCATCAACAGGACTTTATACCTGCTGTAAAATCACAGCAGTTTACATTTAGAAAAGAAACCTTTTTGTTTGCTGATAGTGCAAATAAAGCACAGATTGTAGATAAGAGATTAACAAAAAAATCAACCACCAGGCATTTCTAATCTGGATGTTTATGTCTATTACATGTAGTAAATCTCTGTATTTATAAATTAATGAGTTCCAGGAATAATGAAAGTAAGACACAAAAAGAGCTAATGGATGTTTGAAGCACGGCTTGGGAATGTACTCAAGTTTAAACTGGTCACTTCCTGGAGGGCAGAGAATTGAGTGAAGGTACCCGAGGCCAGGAGTTAATTTGTGGGTTAAGATAATATTTACTGCAGTTAATGCAGTTCTGATTTAAAAAAATCTTTGGCTGGAAACTCTTTCTGTGGTCGGAGGCGGTCACCTTTTCTTCCAGGGCAGCCATCCTCTCCTTCAGATGGAGCTGCAGCCTCTCGTTGGACTCGGACAGCAGCTTGTCCACCGTGTCAGAGAGGCGCTTGTTGTGTTCGTCATTCATCCTCTCCCTCTGCCTCGCCTGAGGGGCAGGGTAAGCGAGATGAGCGAGAGGGAAAGATTTTTAAAAATCAGTGCAGAGGCTGAGAGAAGGGAGGGGGGGGAGGAGAGTTAATAACAGGGAATCTGCTTGACAGAGGGAGAGAGAGACAACGACTTCAATCTGAATGTGCACGGTCAAATACAGGGTTTAGAAAATTAGTGCGCCTTTGTGCAGAGTAAATCCTGACAAAAGGAAAAGAGGGGGAGGATGAAAACAGAAAGATGGAAAAGCAAGCGTGACTCACTCGCTGTAGCTCCTGGTTCTTCTCCTCCAGTTGCGCCTCCATCTGTCGCAGTCGCTCCTCAAAGTTACCATGACGCTCCTCCGCCTGAGCAATTGGAGAGCAAGGTTAGAGCCTGAATCATGTTGCAACACTAATACAAATTAACACAAAAGGAACAGCTTGTTGACTTATTCCTTCAATTAGTTACATGCCTGTACAGATCACAGTGTTACAGGAAAGTTTGTTTTCTTGTTTCTTACAGGACATTAATCTTATCCTTCCACGCCAGCCTTCCTGCCCGAACATGTAGAAGCAGTAGTTGTTGAAGAGGTTTGACTAATAAGAGCAGAGCGACTTCTATGCAAATTTTTTGGTGTGAGGAAACCATTTTTTTACGGGAATGCAAGAGGTTAACATGCATGCAATTAAATCAGTCAGTCAGGAAGAATTTTTGCGGTGTACAGTCCTTGGCGTGCTGAGCACCCAAGGATGTAATAGCTGTGCTCACTCTGTGCCCTGAGCGGGCTTTCATCTCAGCTTGTCTGATTATGTATTGCTGCCACGGCTTGATAAAATATTTGCTATTCTTCTATCTTTTGACATCTTGTGTTTTTTTTCCCCCTACACTTTATGTGGGCGTGAATGCACACAAACATGCACTTACAAATGCTCCTGCTTGCACCTGCCTGCATGTACTCACGCATGCAACTGAGTCTCTGCATTGCTGCACATTCCAGCTCGCACCAAATTTGTGCACACACATCCACGTACTAAATTTTGTCTCTAGAAAATTTTGCTGTTTAAAAAAACACGATTGGGGATAAAAAGGCTCGCAAGACTTTGGCAAACCTGTCGGATCACTCCAAAATACACCAACAAGGGTTTACTGAGGCCGATTAGGACGTACACACCTTGTTGAGTGCAGCCACTCTCTGGGCGAGCTGGGCTTCGATCTCAGGCAGCGTCTCAGCTCTCTGCAGGGTTTGCTGCAGCTTCTGTTTGGCATCATCAAGACGCTCCTGAAGCTGCCGGTTCTTCTCTTCACTCTGCAGGAAAGCGGGATGTCAGGGAGTGCAGGTGGAACTCGGACCGCAATAGAAGATTGCCGAGGGCAAAAAGACATGTTTAAAGCCGTCGGGGGGGAAGTAGAAAAGGCACTAATGATGCTCTTTCTGTGCCAATGCGAAACACAGCCAAGCTGCCAATCAGCAGCAGAGACATGAACACGCATGGAGATGAAAGGGACTGTTAACCTAACCTGTCTATGGAGTGACTCCTTGCTGGCCAGCTCGTTTTCCAGCTTATCTTTTATGTCATGGAGAGAAGTCGCCTCCCTCTGGGCACTCAGGTACCTGCAAACCAGACCCCAACAGAGACGTGAGTGGACGGGATTTTGGAAGAAAGGTCATCTTCATGTCAACTATAAAGAAATAAATCTACCAAAAATAATAAATATCCAGGGTAAATGCACACAATCCATTTATAAAATATGAGACTAAATGTTTAAATTTGCTCTGTATTCCTTAGAAAAATAAAGCTCATTTTATTAATAAAATTATTTGTTTCATCTGTGTTTTTATTCATGTATTTTGTTTCTGGGAGGGAAAGTTTATATGACATACTTCATATGAGATTTGCATGATTTTTATAAAAATGCCAATTTTAAATGGGAAAAAGATGAATTAGGGACAAAATGCAAGGAAATTTTATGAAACAAATAGATGAATTCAAAAATTAACAAAACAAAAAATAAATGGGAACAAATAGGGGGAATGAATATGCAGATAATTAAATTCATGAATGGATCCCTACATTTATACCTAATATAGTTTAGCACATTCAATAGCTCTGAATGTTCTTTTTCCATTCTACTGTTTCTGTCTTTATAGATTTTCTTCATTGCGCTTTCCATCCTGCACTTTCTCCGTGTTGATGGACGTGGAGAGAAAACACAAACCTGCGCTCTAATGTGGTGATCCTCTCTTCCATGTCTTCCCTTTGACAGAGCGCCTGTGAAAATATGTAACCACTGTGAGAAACAAATAGAAAGGCGTAAGAGAGCAAATGGTAAATTTACAAGGAGGCGTTCTCAAAAAGATAATTCACTCAGTGTGAACTGCTATTAGTTAAGGAATGATAATGACCGGTTGATAGTTATCGCTGACAGATGTCAGAAGCACCCTGTTATGTCCAACAGAAATGAGAGTGGGGGTTGGGTGGGAGGATACAGGCCGTGGCAAGAAATAAAAGTTTGCTGATTAAACTCGCTCGACTACCTCTAATTCCAAAACGCTCCACACGCCTTTCACTCAGCTGCCAGCGCACTGACTGATTAACCGGCCCACATCCATGCGAAAAATCGCCTGCAGCTCTACCAGTGACATCACGGCTACACGGTGATTTGCATGCAGCAGCAGTTGCTGCAGCCACGTAAACAAACAGCATAGTAACCACAACAAAAAAGTATGAACAACATAGCTCGGAGTGTCACACCTCCTTTAGATCCCTCTGTAGTTTCTGGTTGGTCTCCTCTGATCGGGCCAGCTCCCTCCTGGCAGACGTCAGCTGCTCCTCGATCTCGCCAACCTGACAGGAAATGAAGGATACAAGGCTAAACGGGCACACATCGTTTTCTGTCTGTTAGCATTCCAGATTTGCGATATTTTGCTTGTTTTGCTAAGAGCATTTGACCTTAGGAGCTCCTGAACCGAATACCTGTCTGCACATGAGGGCCAGTCGCTCTTTCAGTTGTCCCAACTCTGACCTCTGTCTCTCTATCTCGCCCTCTCTCTGCCTGTCAACTTCGCCGTCGTCCAGGATGGAGGACGGTCCGTTGGGAAGCCTCTGAAAGAAAAGATTTACTGTATTTAATATAAAAAGGATAAATTATGATTACTAAGAATAAAACTTCCAGAGTTTATGGGTTTTCCGGGGATTTTGCTGTCGTTTTTTTTTCCTTTAAAGCAAAAATTTCCGCTCCAGGAAGCAAAATTTAAGAACTTAAATTTGAACTCTGCAACATTTAATTGTAGTGGAGCAAAAAGTTGTATCTGCAGAAATGTAAGATAAAAATTATAATACAATATGTTTCATTTCTATATGTTAAAGTAACATTATTGTAACATCTGAAACCTAATCTTCCACTCAGAGGACTATCTTGTGACACAGTGGTTTAAAAACGTGTGAAATGCTCTATTTTTTTTTAATTCTATTAAATCGCCCAGGTTTAAAAAAATTTATATATATTGTCGGTCTGCTCTGGTTATTGAATGAGAGGTGCATGTAAATGTGCAGGTTTTACAATGTGTTCATCTTTCAAAGTGGGAGCAGGGATTTTACACAGTTTTTCTCTTTCGTTAAGCTTTTGTACATAAAAAAAGAAACAACAGTTAGTATTTTGAGTAAGTTTTCCTCGTTAACACTGTGAAATGCACAGTTTTTAAGCAATTAAGAAATCCTGTTGCAGATAGAGGGTGGGTTATATGAGAACTCATCCAATTGTGACCGTTTCACAATATTTGATAATCAGTACACTTCAACACAATACACACATCATATTGTGATATCTATGTAACCAAGGAACATAACATGTTAATAAAAACATCTCAAGCCACCATCAATTTAATGAATTAGCTCACTGATTTGACATGCAGAGATGGATGGGATTCAAACTCAGGACCTTTTTGCCTTGAGGCATCGGTGCTAACCACCAGTGCATAACTTCCTCCTTGAAGAATGACTGAAATGCTGCTTAACGGGAATAAACTGACACTGATGGCTGTAAGCTATATGACAGTTCTACTGATCTAAGAATAAACTGTATACAGTTGCTGCAATAACTGCAGCAGCTTCTGGCAATCAGTGGCACCTGATCAACGCTCCAGCTGCAGAGTGAGGAAAGATTTATGCAGCTTTAAACAGCAGCCGTTTTTATTTCCTGTACCCCCACTTTAAGATCTACGTATGCAGTCTGAGGAAAAATAGCAAAAGATAGCAAAACATGATTAAACGCTTTATTGTTAATGTTAAAAAGTTACTTGTATAACAATGAGTGTTTCTCTGATATTAAACTACAAGTGTTGAAGTCAGAGCTTTGCTTTGCAGACCCACGTGCACACTATAGACCACTCCTGCTCGTGTTTGTGCTGCGCCTCGGAAAGTAAGGAGGCCACAACAGTCAAACAGCCTCGTTGCTGTGAACAGAATGTTAAAGACAATGAAAATTCTCAGCTGTCTTTGTTTCTGCTCTTTTGTGCTTCTTTCTCTTTGTGGTGAACTCCACTGTCACTCCCTTTCTTGTGTTAGTTAACATTCCTATAATCCTTCACACTGTGTACTCAAAGACCATGCGAACAGACACAATGCGGGTCTATGAGCCTAGCTACAGATGGTCAGCACGGGAAACCTTCTATACGCTAACAACACAGCGGTTTGTAATGTCAGCCATGTTTTTTCAGCTTTGATCTGCTGCATGCAGAGAGTATATATGTGTTGCTGTGACAATATCACAGGTCAGTATGAACACAACTCTAAAACCAACTTGTTTTCTGTCCTCTACAATAAACTAACTGTGCTTTATGATCTGTATGTACAGTTATTGCCTATGAAATGCGCTCGATTACCTCTTTGCCGTTGTCTAGTCCTTGCTGGCGTCGTTTGATTTGCTCCCTTAAAGAGAGAACCTAAAAACAAGGCAAAGAGAATCATCAAAGAGGCCCCATCTGTAATTATCTTCTATTTCTAATTTGAAAAGAAAACTAAGTGGGAGGGAAACAGGGACTCACCTCTTGGGAGGAAGACTGTAGCTCCTCCTCCAGGACCGACACGCGCTCCAGAGCTACCCGTAGCCTTTCACGCACTTTCTCATCCAGAGCTTTGTGATGCTCGAACAAGGACTTGAGGGCCTTTAGGACCTCCACCTCACTAGAGACCCCGGCCGGAGACTGGGCCTGCCTCTTCACCACGGTCATCCTCAGGCTGCGCTCATGGCGGGACACCAGGCACTCCAGATGTTCGAGCAGCAGCTGGAAACACATGTGGTTCACATGCAGTAAAAGCTCACCACAGTGCGCCTCTGATATGTCTCAGAGGATTACGTTTTCTCGTGTGAAGTCTTTCAAAAAAGGCGAGGTTGCATGCCAGGATCAGAGGAGAGCATAACGCAAAACAGACATGGAAGTGTACTGACTCGTGTGTTGTTCCTCTCTGCCTTCAGCTCCGCGATCTCCTCCTCTCTCTCCAGCAGCTGTTCCCGGCAGAGGTTCAGCTCTTTGGTCAGCACTGCAAACTCCTGCAAGGTCACAAGAGGGTGCTATTATTGACTGAACAGTGCTGCTGCTGCATGAGGTCATGAGTGCAGGTTAGACATACTGATCACACACACACACACACTGCTTTACCTCTCATTCATCCAAGAATGATTACAGAAAGGTCAAGCAGGTGGGACGAACGGGTGGAAGTTCAAATTCAGTCAGGAAATGTGTGACAGCTGATTTACATTGAAGCTGCAAGGTTTTCTTTTATTTTAAAGATGCTTTGCAAATAAGACATGAATCTGCTTCTGCTTCTCCATCAGACACCAAAAAATGTAGT